AGTCCAGGTAGGGGTATGTGGGCTTCAGCAGACTTGCTTCCAAAGGGGTCCAGGGTACAGACAAGGTGAAGACTCCCCAAAGTAGGCCCAGCCCTGGCCTGTTCAGAGCTTAGTCCCAGCTGGCTCAGCCCGGGTCAGCTAGACCTACCTCAGCGCACTCTAGGCCTGATTTAGGGGTGGGGGAGCACTTCCTCTGAGAATAGCTGGTCCAGCAGGGACATGAGGGCAATGGGGAAAGGGAATCTGCCCTGTTGACCCAAGCAGGAAGGATTCAATAAACACAGGGGGGATTTATGGTTTCCTGATGTGTCACCTTCACGGGGGGGGGGGGGGGGGGGGTGGGCCGGGGGGGGGGGAAGAGATAGGGGCCGCATCACAGCTGGATGAAGGAGGAGAGGGCTTGGAGACAGGGTTTCTGGGCCACAGTGCAAGCCCCAGGAACAGAGCTCCAGGGGCAGGCCTGGGGAGCTAGGAGGCTCAGGCCACAGCCCAGAACACCTCCACCCGTCCTATATATACTTAGCCCTGACACAGGTGCTGGGAAGCCCTTAACTCCAGAAAAGGTGGTTCATATGGCAAATACTTCCATCCCACCCAGGGCCCTGGCGTTTGAGCTCATTTCAACACCGCCCTCGCCAAACCAAAGTTACTAAGGCTTGGGGATTGTTAGTCAGAAGAGCTGGGTTCAAATCCTATTCATCCTCTTATTACCTGCATGACCTTGGGCAAAAGGCTTCCTTTCCCTTGCCCTCAGTTTCCTCATCTGTAAAATCAGAGAATTCGACTAGATCGGGGCAGGCAAACAAAAAGGCCCGGATCTGGCCTTGGAGCACTGGTTTCAGTGACCCCTGGACTCCTTTTGAGGTCCCTTCCAAAGTTAAATCTGTGATCCCAACGACAATCTCTCTGAGACTCAGTTTCCCTATCTGCATGAGGGGGGTGTATTACATGGCCTCTGAGGCCCATTCCAGCTATAATTTTAGGGTCTTGCCTGTCTGTTTAATGAGCAGGAGACTAAAGGGTTAAGTGCTTAGACTGGGATTGGAGGGAGCCTTAGGGAACTGGATACTCAGAGTCAGTCTCCCTCTATCCTAGCCTGGCAAGGGCCACCCAGCCCCCTGCCCCGCCCCAGCCCCTGCCAAAGCCCATTGTTGGTAGCTCCCCTTCCTTCCCCTCGGGCAGCCTACCCACACCCCACATTCTTGGCACGGAGATCCCTGAGCCATTGTTTCCTGAGAGAAATGGGGCCCCAGCCCAGGTGAGAGAGGCTGGACCTTCCCTCCTTCCTTGTCTTCGGACTCTGATTGTCCTCCCAAGACTGAGGCCTAGAGACAGCCTGGCCCAGCCCGGCCCAGCCCAGCCCAGCCCAGCCCAGCCTAGCCCATCTTGGCTTATTCCTTCCATCTTCTCAAAGACTCTAGTTTCAAAGACTTAGACACAGTAAGAAAAAGAATAGTTTCAGATAATGGGGTCACAGTTCAAGAGCCAGAAAGGACCCCAGAGAGACTACCTAGGCTTAACCCTCTCATTTTACAGACAAGGAGACTGAGGCCAAGGCCAAGTCAGTAGAAGAATGAGAATTATTGGGGCAGTTAGGTGGTGCAGTGGATACAGCACCAGCACTGGAGTCAGGAGGACCTGAGTTCAAATCTGGCCTCAGACACCTACTATCTGTGTGACCCTGGGCAAGTCACTTAAACCCAATTGCCTAAAAAAAAAAAGAATGAGAATGATTCTCCCCATTTTACAGATGAGGAAATAGTCTAGGAGAGGGAAAGTAGTCTTGACCAAGTTGGGATAGCTGTGAGTGGCCTTGACCCTGGGCCATTTGACCCCTGTTCCACAGCTTCTTCTACCTGGTTTCTCGTGGGAATCACATCCGAGATCGGACAGAACTGAGAGTGCTCAGTCTCCCAGAGGTGGCCCTGATGGCCGGGGGTTCAGTGGGCCTTAGAACTCGGCTCACAGCAGGTAGCCCTTCCTCTTCAAACTTCTGCCGTCCTGGGAGGTCAGACTCAGCTTCCTCTACTCGGCTGGAGGGCAGAACTAGGGATGGTGGAAGACAGGTGCAGAGGGAGGCCCACTGAAGCCCCATCATTAGAGCTGGGCCCCAGGAAAATGGGCTGCCCCACAGGGAGAGGGCTTCCTCTCACTGAAGGCCTTCAGTGACCACTGGGCTACCTGTCAGTTACAGATCACTTAACCAGCTGAGGCTTCACTTTTCTGTAAAATGAAGGGGTCCCTGCTGGCTGTAGACCCTTGTTCCTATGGTACAGTGAGAAAAACACCTTCTGGGATCAGAGGACTCGGGCTGAAATCCTACCTCTGATAATTATTACCTGTGTGACCTTGGGTAAGCCCTGGGCCTGTTTCATCTGTAAAATGAGGGGGTCCAACCGGACAGCTTCTGAGGTCCTCTCTGATCCGAGATGTAGGACCCTGTTGGGATGCCAAGTCCTGATGTGATGGACATTTCATAGAGCTCGTGAACTGGGGGGTGGGGTGGGGATGGCTGCAGGAAGTGAGGCTGTAATGGGACGTCCTAAGCTCTGTGCCATCACTGTCAGGCACCCTCTTTCCCCTGTGGGGTGGGTCAGGGGCCTTTGAAGTGTAGGGGGCAGGAAGCAGGGCTGGGCCGTGGGGGCCACCTGGAGACAGCTCATCTGGGAGGCAGCTGGAGGGGGGCCCATCTGAGCTCAGTGAGGACACAGGGCGGCCAGGTGCAGGAAGGAGAGAGGGAAAATGCCAAGGTCAGACTGTGGCTTTCATCCTCCCCCCCTTCTCCTCCTTCTCTTTCTCCTCCCCCCTTCTCCTCATCCATCCTCGGAGGCACGATTTGAACCCAGACCCTGGGCCACCCTGCTAGGACTCCTGGGTCCAGTCCCCAGCTGGGTTGCCATAAGAACAAGGGGTTGGCCCCTTCTCCCTGTCCCAGGCCTCTCTGCTCAGTTTGCAGTTGGCTTTGTCGGGGGAGGGGACTTGTGGGGGCCAGGCTTGTCCGGCTCCAGGCTCTGATGTCCCCAGTCCTCCCTACGCCAGGCTTGCCTTGGACCCCTGGCCTGTCCACCAGCTCTGGTCCAGCCAGACAGGAAGAGGGGGAGAATCTTGGGGGGGGGAGAGAAGGACCCTTCCCATCTGGCTACCCCACCCCCAACCCCTCCCCGGTCTGACTCCCTTCCCTCTCTCCTCACCTTCCAAGGAGGTCAGATCCTTGAAGGAAATCACAAGACAGGCCTGGAGAACAGCCAGGGCTGCCTTCCCTGTCCCCCCAAGGCACAGAGGCACTGAGGAGGGGGCAGCCCATTAAGTATCCTGGGATTTTCCCTCCCCCTCTCCCTCCCTCAGCTACTTCTCCCCACCTCGCTCACTGCCAACCCCCCCCACCTTCCACCGCCCCCGCCCCCCCCCCACCCCGTCTATCCCGTAGGCATCCACATCCCTTCCTGTCCCTTATGGGGAGAGGCCAGGAGAGACAAGGGATCTTGGAGAAAGAGGGTTCCTGCCCTCCTTAGCCTTGTGTGTAGAGCCACGGGCTCCCCTGCTCTGCCCTGTCCTTCCTCCTCCTCCCTGGCACCTGGTCTGACTCCCATCCCTGGAGGTCAGGCTCAAAGGCAAGGTTGGTCCTTGGAGAGCTTAGGGCCAGGAAGGGCTTGGGGCGCATTTACACAATTCTCTAACTCCCTCTCTGAGCCTCACCCCTCCTCAGGGGCCCTCTTACATTGCACATCCACCCACCCCATTTCTTCCCCCTTCTCCTCCCCATCCCCCATCCCTCTGGGGATCAGGGCTTCCATCTGGAGACCTGGAAGGAACCTTAGAGGCCCCTGGACCAGAGGGCTGGTCATTTAGTCCTGCCTTTCTATTTTACAGATTAAGAAACTGAGACCCAGAGAGGGATCTTAGATCAAAAGCTGGAAGGGACTCCAGGAATTATCTAATCCAGCCCCTTCATTTTACAGATGAGGAACCCAGATAGGTCATGGAGGATCATGGGTTGAGAGGTAGCGTGCTTCATTTTACGGATTGGGAAACCAAGGCCTGGAGTGGTATCCTAGATCCAGAACCAGAAGGGATCTCGAAGATGATTCAGTCCAATCCCCCCATTTTACAGATAAGGACTATGAGGCATAAGGGAAGGGACTGGCCCAAGGTCACACAGGTTGTTAGGTAGGAGGATTTGAACCCAGGGTGTCTGATCTCAGATCTGGTGCTCTTTCTACTGCTTCTCATCTTTTCCCCAATAAAATACTGGGGGGCAATAATTAGTATTTGTTACTGTAACTATAAACACGCCATCTCAATTGACCCTGCGAGAGGAGTTGTATTAGTGGACAGGCATTAGAAACCCCATTTTACAGATGGGAAAGCTGAGGAAAGAAGGGATACAGCCCAAGGTCAGGCCACTAGTCAGGGACATAGCCAAGAGTTGAACTCAGCTCTACCATTCTTTCCAGGTTCTATGTCAACAGGCTAACTCAGAGCAGATTAAAAATCTTAGGACCCCAGATCCAGGGCTGGAAGGACCTTGGAGGCTAATCCAATCTCCTGCTTTTACAAGAACTCAAGGAGAAATGACTTTCCCAAGGTCACACACACGGCAGAGCTGGCGTGTGAACCCAAGCCTCTGACTTCAGAACCAGTGAGCTGTCCGGTGAGCTAGCAATTCTACGTCTGGATCCCAGCCATAGCAGCCTGCCTTCTGTTCGTCAGCCCTGCTCCCCTTGGAAGGGAACAAGCATTTATTAAGCACCTACTGTGTGTCAGGCACTGCACTAAGGACTTTACAAATATTATCTCATTTAAGAAATGCTTCCCTTTCCTCCTCTTCCCTCCCTTCCCCTGCCCTTCCTTTCCCTTCCCTTCTCTTCTCTTCTATTCCTTGGACTTTGCTGTTCTCTGAGGCAGCAGCCTGCCACCCACTCCAAACCCTTTCCTCCCCTCAGCTGACGAGCAGAGTAGGGCCCGGGCATTGGGGGATGGGAGACAGCTGGGGGTCCTACCTTCTTCACAGTTGGTCCCCGAATGACCCGGACAGCATTTCCACTCCAGAGAGGTCACTGTCTTGTACACAACCTTATATGTCGGTCTCACCACCGTTCTGTAGCTGCAACACAGTCATGGAACCCAACACGGCTTAGCTCCGAAGGGTTCAGGAGCCTCCTCAGACCAGGGGCCACTTCTCTAGCCAGGGACCACCGTCCCGTGCTGTTTGGTTCTGGACCAAGGTTGGGAACTACTCCATTAAAGGCCAAGACAATGTCAGCTCCTTGTGCCCGACCCATAAGGAACGCTTCCTAAATGGCTGCTGAATGAATGAGTGACGACCCCTACCCTCCTCCGCCTTGGATCCTCACCCCCACCTTCAGTGTCATCCTCAGGGGAAACAGAGGCTCAGTGGAGAGCGCCCCAGGCTTAGAGTCAGGAAGACGAATTCAAATCCTCCTCCCTTAGAAACTTACTGTCTGTTGACTGCGAAGTCATTTAACCTTTATGGGCCTCAGTTTCCTCATTTGCAAAATGAGGATAATAATTCCTGCAGGCTTTCCTCTCAGAATTTTTGTCTGGATCAAAAGATCCTGATCAGGATGTTTTAGGAAACGTTCCTGTTAGGGTGCTTTACAAACCTGAGAGTTCTGCGTCAACATTAGTAGCTACGAGCATTGTTGCTGTAACAGCTGATACTCACAGAGATCTGAGGTTTGCAAGGCAGCTTACAGGCACTAATTCATTTGGATCCTGACAACTCTGACTTTTTTTTTTTAGGCAATTGGGGTTAAGTGACTTGCCCAGGGTCACACAGCCAGTAAGTGTCAAGTGTTTGGTCTGAGGCCAGATTTGAACTCAGATCCTCCTGACTTCAGGGCCGGTGCTCTATCCACTGCACCACCTAGCTGTCCCAATCCTGATACCTCTGAAAGAAAAGATCTGCAGGGATTGTTATTCCCATGTTATAGATGATAATACTGAGGCTCAGAGGGTAAGTGGCTTGTAATGGAGATGGGATTAGAACCCAGGTCTCACCTCGCTCCAAGTCCAGAGCTCCTTCCAAGCCTGGATCCCTCATCTGGTTCTGAGCAAGTGCCAGAAGCATTATCTGCCTCCCTATGTGTCCTGGCCCCTCCACCAGATGGGGAGCTTCCATGGGGCAGGGACCAGGTCTTACCCATTCTGGTATCTCCAGCATTAAGCCCACCAGCAGTGCTTAATAAATGCATGCTGACAGCACTTTATTCTCCTTGGTTTAGTGTGTGTGTGTGTGTGTGTGTGTGTGTGTGTGTGTGTGTGTGTTTGTGTGTGTTGGGAGAGACAGACTGAGAATCAGAGAGACAGAAAGAGAGGGAGAGGAGAAAGAGAGAGAGAGAGAGATACAGAGACAGAGGCAGACAGAGAGACACAGAGAGAGACAGAGAGAAAGAGACAGAAACAGAGACAGAGAGAGACAGAAAGAGACAGAGACAGACAGAAACAGAGAGA